TAATATATAATGTTATACAAATAAAGAAATCTAACTAATAAACTAATATAATAATGTTAATAAAAATATATATAAAATTAAGAAATAAGGTTAACACTATAATTATTAACTTCAAGAAAACTCTGAAAGTTTCCATAACATTTTAATGTGATTATTAATACTGGAGATAATTTATCTATGTATTTTACTGATAACTACTAGAGGTATTTTATCTCTGTTACATGAATACTGATAATGTAATATAAAAATATAAATATACTATACTAAAAATAGATAAGATAATATATATGTGAAATACTAATATAATAATAAAATAATAATAATAAAATGAGTTATAATAAGAATATATATATATATAGAAAAATAAAAAAACAAGATTAACAATGTAAATAAAAATGTAAATAAAATATAAATTTGTAAAACTAAATGAACAAAATAAATTATTAGCATGTTTTTTATCCAACGATTTTTTTAGAACTAAATAGATCTTTATTTATCTAAAAATTTGTTAAAGATCATAACTTTAAAGAATTAAAAATAGAATATTTCAGTATCATTTCTCATTAAATATCCTATGAATTTTTCAAATAATTTTCAAATATATCTAGATATTTGAGAATCAAAAAAATCCAATATGCAAATATATTCAAATTTTTTATAAACCAAAAAATATCTGAATATATTTGTTTCCAAAAATTTTTTGATAGGTGAATATATTCAGATATATTTGAGAATTGAAAAAATCTGAATATATGCAAATATATTTATATAAATTTGCAAATTTATTTGAATTTTTTTAGAAATTGAAAAATCTGAATATATACAAATATATTTACATAAATTCACAAATTTATTCAAATTTTTTCTAAACCAAAAAATATCTGAATATATTTGTTTCCAAAAATTTCCTGATAAGAATAATCTGTTATATAATGTTATTTATACTTATCATTCTTAGAATATTGTAGAATGGATTGTTCTAGAATGTAACATTTGTAAAATCACTGGTCAAAAATTGATAAAACATATACATATCGAGTACCCGATATGCGCATGGTGTGTTTCTAATATCGGGCATATATCGGGTACCCAATAAGTGTAGAAAATATTTTTTTACACTTATCGGGTACCCGATATATATATAAAATATTTTTTACACATATCGGGTACCTGATATATGCCCAATATTAGGGAAACACCATGCACATATCGGGTACCTGATATGTATATGTTTTATTAATTTTCGACCAGTGAATGTTGTAAAATGACATATATAGAATGTTATACAAACATTCTATTCATAAAATGTTGTAGAATATTATATAAAAATTCCTGATGAAGATTCTTCTCAATTAGTTTTACCATTTGTAAATTTTAAATTTGTATAATTTTAATTTTATAATTTGTAACTTTAAAATAATAACTTATAAAAATTATCTTGAAATTGAGATAATAAAATATTTATAAAATAAATAATAAAAAGAATAATTGAATTAATAATTAATATAAAAGTTATTATTAACCAAAGTTAACCTTACATTAATAAAGTGATGAATCTAATTAATAAAATAAATAATATTTAACTAACAATACTCAATTAACTATATTAATTAATAATATATTATTTAACTAAATATTATTCAACTATATATTATTTAATTAGAAATTATTAAATTATAATAGTTTTATTTTGTATCTTATTATATAGTTTATATTATACATATTACCAAAATTGATTTCTGATTTTTGGAATATTTTGTATTTTTGAAATTTACTCAAAATCTATTTTATATATGAAAGTAAAAAAATACCTAGTTAAGTATATCTTTAATCAAGGAATTTATCTGAATAGTTAAAAAATTTTGAATTTTAAGTAAAATAATTTCATCTTCTATAAAAAACTATTTTGACTTTTTTCTTCAAAATAATTTTGTGTGCAAGTATAGTTTACATAGTATTTTATATAAAAATTTATTTTTTATTTTTATTTTTTATTTTTTTTATATTTTTATTATATTATTTTTATTTTATAAATAACACATGAGATTAATTTGACATGAGAAATTAGTATAGTTAATCCTTTTGATGTTGTCAATTAGTTAGTCATTATATATTATCTATTATCTATTTTATTATTTTTATATTATATATTTTATTATTATACTTATTATATTTTTATTATATGCATGTTACTATCTGAATTGGTCTTACAAGACCTAAGATTTTATTTTATTTTTTTTGTACTAGCAAGATTTCACCTCAAATTTTATTAATTAAAACAAAAGAAAGTTTTTTACAAATATAAGATATATGACTTATTCTAATAACTATTAGTTAAGGATATGACTCAGACTAACCCAAAGGGAAGACCTAAGATTTTATTTTTTAATTATTATATATAATTATTATATTTATAATTATGTATTTTTTATATAAGGTATATGAATAAATAAAGGGCAAACTAGTTCTTGTTCAATTAATTTAATTATAAAAACAAGTTTCAATTATTTTCCCTAATGAATTTGTAGATTTGTTACATAAATAATGTATCTATCAACCAAATATCACTAGTCAAATACAAAAGAATTACTGTACTAAATGGTGATTCCTATACTATAGATTAGCTAAAATTAGTAAAAATCAACTATCCTATATTATAAAATCAGAATTTCTTTTTGATATGACATACCTTTTGTATTTGACCTGTATTAATTAATATTGCAACCAATGAACTCAACTACAACTATAAGTGAATATTAAGATCTAACAATCAATTATTCCATAATAATGAAGTTGAAAGATATTGATATAATTTAATGAAAGGTTTAATTCCCTTTCTAAAATAATTGAATCATTGGTACTTCTAAAACAACTAAATAACAGTTTTACCTTTGGGGAAGGACTATAAACTTCTTAAAAGAACTATTAAGTTACATAACTGGCTTGTCTGCAAGGGAGACAGGTACATTGATTAAGATTTTTTTCTTTAAAATCATCCTGTATTTTTTGGTACAGAACTCTGTTTTATTTCTTTCTCATAATTATTATGAAGGTATTTCTTCTTGTAAAATAAAAAAAGTAAATACATTATTTACAAACAAAAATATAAAAGATTTATAATTAACACTTACATTACTGTATGCAATAAATCTTTTAATATATCATCACTAATTGATGTATAATTTACTTGTGCTTTTTTTCTTAGGAGCTACTTCTTGAAGTCTTTGAATTGCAGCTGGAGAAACTATTGGTGAAGTAAAAGTCATATATACTTTAGGTATTTGTTTAATCCAATTTTTAGCTAGTTCAAGTGGATATCAGGTTTCCACTGACATAATTGAATCTTGGTGATGAAGAAGTGCAATTGCATAATGTATTTTGTTTGGAACAATTTCAATTGACTTTTTGCAAGTAGAGAAAATAACAATTTTAATAGAATAATAATAAGCAATAACAACAAGTAGTAATATTCTCTTTAGAGTAATAATATTTCCATCAGGCATATAAAGATTAAATCCATGAGAGATTTCATTCTTGAGATACTGAACAATTTGTTGTGCCAAGGTTAATTCACTTTCTGAGGTAATTTCAGATATAACTAGATCTTGAAAATAAAGTCATGCTTTTGCTTGATGAAGATTTTCTATGCTGAAAGGTTTGCTGGCAGCTACATCAAATGTTCCTTGTAGCCTTGTCATGAATTCACATTGGTTATTTTTCTGGAATAGTTTTGCAAAAAAAAAAGCTAAAAATTCCCTTAAACAAAACATGATTATGCCTAATTTATAGATTGTCGTTTATTGATAATTTGAATAAAGAATAATGTTTGATTGATGCTTTAATCAATTGATAAATAAAAAAAATATACTGGATCAAACCCACCCATCAATAAAAAATATAATCAATTTCAGTCTGCAGATCTTTTATCCAAATTTTAATTCTCCATGAAGTATTCAAAAATTATCATTTCAACTATTCAATTATTCATTTCCACACTCGTCAATTGAATTACACAAAGAAATTAATAATATTATTGTTTAATTAATTAATTCATAATTATGACATTCTGATTCGTCTGGTAATAATATATTATATATGTATATATCTTATTTAGACCCAATACAAACAATATTTATTTACAAAACCATAAATTTTAATAAAAATAAAAATACATTTGAGATAAAGACATTAAAAGATATTCGAGCATGCAAAATAAATAAAAAGCTCTATTTCCAATTTTTTTTTAGGAATTAATGTTGACTCCATTGAATAGATTTCAAATCAATACCTTCTTGAACCTAATAATATAAATTTAATAATAATAAATAAATAATTTTAACAAAATAATTAAACTATATTTAAATTATAAATTTTTAATTAATTAATTATATTTACCATCTCCCAAAGTGGTGACATTTCTCTCAACTTATCAACATGTTTTACTACTCGATCCACAACAAGATCGATCTCTTGTTCAGTAGTAAATCGTCCTATACCAAATCTAATACTAGAATGTGCCATATCATCATCTGCTCCTAAAGCTCGAAGAACATACGAAGGTTCCAAGGAAGCTGAAGTACATGCTGAACCTGATGAAAGCGCGATATCTTTAAGAGCCATTAATAATGATTCTCCTTCGATATATGCAAATGAAAGATTTACACATCCTATATTAAAATAATAAGAGAATATGTGAATTAATACAAAATATAAATATAAATAAATAAATAAAGATAAATATATTACCTGGATAGATTGCATTTTGATCTCCATTACGAACGACATGATTAACTTTTGCCATAATACCATCAATAAGTCTCTGAGAGAGTTTTTTGACACGTTCAGCATCATACTAAATTCAATTGATAAACAAAATAAGAATAATTATGTATATATCTTTAAATTTATCATAATATTTTTTAAATAAATATAATAGAAATAACAATAAGTATCTTCAGAACCCCTACACAATTATTTGTCATCATTGTGTGTACGCATGAAATAAATAAAAAAAATAATTTTTCATATGCATAATTACTCTTTTTTTCTTTTAAATCAATTTTTTTACATCATTTGATCTCGATTAAAATATTTCTTGAATTATTTATAAAGATTATTTATTATTTAAACTAACCTTCATTTCCTCTTTTGCAATTCGACAAGCTTCACCTATACCAACAACCAATGGTGTAGGTACTGTTCCACTTCTTAATCCTCTTTCTTGTCCTCCTCCACTTTGTATTGCTTCTAATCTAACCCTTGGTTTTCTACGTACATATAAAGCACCTATTCCTTTAGGTCCATAAATCTTATGACCTGATATACTCATCAAATCAACATTCATTTTATTAACATCAATCGGTATTTTCCCCACCGCTTGTGCTGCATCAGTATGGAAAAATACTTTTTTGGAACGACAAATTCGTCCAATTTCTTCAATTGGTTGAGTTACTCCAATTTCATTATTAACTGTCATAATTGAAACGATTGCTGTGTCGGGACGAATGGTTTCAGCCAAAATATCTAAATCTATGAGGCCAGAGGTTTTTACAGGTAAATAAGTAACATCAAAGCCTTCTTCATCTAAAACACGACATGAGTCAAGTACACATTTGTGTTCCTTTATTAAAAAAAAAAAAAAATAATTTTATCGTTTATTTGTTATCAATATTATTTTTTAATTAATTAATACATACTATACTTATTATTATTTATTAAACATTTCTAGTACTTACAATTTGAGTAGTAATTATATGTTTCTTGCTACTTTTATAAAATCGGGCAACACCCTTAAGACTCATATTATTCGATTCAGTGGCACCAGAGGTAAAGACAATTTCTTTGGGATCTGCACCAATTATATCGGCAACATACTATTTAAAAAAAAATATGGAATATTTGAATTTTAAACTATTTAATTTACATTTAATATTTGCATTTATTTATTTGAAATATATACCTCTCGAGCTTTTTCAACTGCCTTTTCTGCCTCCCAACCATAAGCATGTGTTCGTGAGTGAGGATTACCATACTGTTGCGTGAAATATGGTAGCATTGCATCGAGCACTCGTGGATCAGTAGGGGTTGTAGCCTGCATGTCGAGGTAAATAGGTCTATATGTTTTTTTTACTTTCGTTTCTTCAAAACCTAAGGAATCTAAAATTAGATCAAACGTTAAGTTTATTTTTGTTATTAAATTAAAGACAAAAATAATAAAAAAGAATACTAGATATTTACCAGGTGAGGGTGTAATAAAAGTTGGTGCTATAACAGTGGAAGCATATTGATCAGGAACTGTAGCAGCAGTATAATTTCTCTTCAATAGATTAGCAATTGAACCCTGATTCAAATGCCGTTTCTTAGAAACTAAGTTGTAATTGAAATTTCTCGTTAAAAGACGAGAAAGTGAAATAAAATTCATGATAAATAAAAATGATTTCAAATGATCTCAAAATTATCATATTAATTGTCAAAATTATCACAAGATTGATTACAGGATATTACGTCACAAAATTGAGACGTTTGGTGAGAAAAAATATTTAATTAATTTACATTCGAAGTACAAAAGTACAAATGTAAATTTTTTTAAATGGATAATCCTTTAGAAGAAATTTATCAGATATTTTATAACATCTTAGTTAATCCTGATAAATCTCTGATAGAGAAAGAATTCAATAGATGTTTTACTCCGGATTTAGAACTTAACCATTTTTTAGCAGTTGTTCCTCCTAAAAGAGGATCCAGAGAATCTATTATTCGAATTTTTCAATGCCAGCGAGGTATGAACGGTAAAATCTTTGAGGAATTTAGATAATAATAATTAATGACATCTTTATTTTGTATAAACATATTTGTAGGATTTTACTTTGGTAGTAGTCTAGTTATCCATGATAAGTGTAAGTCCTTCTTCTCTTAATATCAAATGGCATTTATTCAACATTGCTAATATCTTAATTAGGGTTTAACGAAAATACCGGAAGAATGGTTCTGAGCGCGACTCAATATCTCGACTTTGGGTTCATTCCATGGACAACCATTCCGATAAAGTAATACATTTACTACTGCATAGCATATCATAGCATATGTGCATTGAAATTGAAATGTTATTTATTTATTTATTCTATATTTTCTATACAATAGATTTGTCGTCATTTTAGATTTAAAACAAAATGAAGAAAAATATTTGATTAGTAAATACGAAGAATTCCTTCAACCAGAAGAAATAATTGGTCCATTTTTTCCCTACTTGGGGCCTTGGATAGTGAACAAATTGAAAAGATTTTCTGTTGGCTTTTCTATTCTTTTTAGTTATGCTTTCGAAATGATTGGGTGGAATTGAATTTTTACATTATTCACGTGAATTAGACAATTTAGTAATTGATGAATGTATTTAATAATGTAGCATTTGTGACGGATTTATTCCGTTTAAAAAACAAATTTTTTTTGGTGTTTTTCATTCAAATAAAATTTCTTAAATTTTTATTGGTAAGATTAATACATTCGAAAATTAAATTGTATACAGACGCTAAATAATTAAACCATGACGTTAAAATAAAATTACATGTAGGTTTAGTGAACTAATTAAGCTTACCGATATCACAAGATGCAACTGAAAAATCAAGCCAATTAATGCATTATGCAAACAAATTTTTATTTAACCAAGTATAGCGAAGCATTAACAGATTTTGATAAATTATTAGAAATAGAACCAAATAATTATCTTGCATTAGAATCACGAGGAAAGACTTATCTATCGTTAAAAAAATATACGTAATGAAGCATTAACAGATTTTAATAATTTATTAGAAATAGAACCAAATAATATTCTTGCATTAAGATTACGAGGAGAAACTTATCAAAAGTTAAAAAAGTATAATGAAGCATTAACAGATTTTAATAAATTAATTAGAAAAAGAACCAAATAATTATCTTGCATTAAGATTTCGAGGAAAAATATACAAGATGTTTAATAAATACAAAGAATCACTTGATGATTTTAATGAAATTCTGAAAATAAATTCAGATGATATTTCAGTATTGAATCTAATAATAGAAACAGAGAAAAGCAAAAACAAATCAATTTTTAATGCCAAGACACAAACTGCATCTGGATTGGTTCAAGGCATAATAACAGAGTCAAGTGAGTTCATAAATTGGATTCCATATTTTCAATTTGAAGATATAAAATATATAGCAGAAGGTGGTTTTGGTGTAGTAAACAGAGCTATTTGTATCAGAGATGGAGGAAATAAAATCAAGGTAGCACTTAAAATTCTACATAATTCTAAAGATATAACGGATGATTTTTTGAAAGAAGTATGTCTAATCATTGCTATTTAATTTAAATTTTATTATTTTTTAGCACAAATAATATTTATTAATAAATTTAATTTTACAATCAAATAGGTGATATTTTATGGAATAACAAGTTCAAATGATTTTATTATACAATGCTATGGAATTACCAAAGATCCTAATACTAATAACAATATTATGGTAATGGAGTTTGCAGAAGATGGAAGTTTACATGAGGACTTAGTGCTAAATTTTGATAAAATTACTTGGCAAACAAAATTAGTAAGATTATATTGTATTGCAACAGGGTATGTATTTAATTTATTTTGCCTAATTAAGTAAATTTATATGTTAACTTACATCACAAATATTATGTAGACTTGAACAAATTCATAATAATAATTTGATACACAGAGATCTTCATTCAGGAAACATTTTAATGGGTGTTAATGGAATTCTTGGTTCAATTAGAATAGCTGATTTAGGATTATGTAGAAATATTGATACTTCAACAAATAATATTTATGGAATAATACCTTATGTAGCACCTGAAATATTTGAAGACTCATTATATAGTCAAGCTTCTGATATATATAGTTTTGGAATGTTAATGTGGGAATTTACAACAGGTCATAAGCCATTTTCCAATAAATCTCATAATTCTAGACTCATTTGCAATATCAGAGGTGAATTAAGACCTGAAATTACTGATGATACTCCAGAGCTATTTAGAGATTTAATGAAGAGATGTTGGGATTCAATTTCAGTAAATAGACCAAATATAAAAGAAATTAGAGAGAAATTTTATAAATGGTGCTGGAGAAAAGAAAATAAAGATCATTTCTATCAAGCTGAAAACTTAAGAAAAGAATTTTTAAAAGAAAGAAAAGAAAAGAAAGTAATTAATCAAAATAATTTTCACCAAGAAGCTATTTATACATGCAGATCTTTAACTTCTATGATTTTGCTATCTAAGTTAATTGGTAAGTTTTAATTATGTCATAAAAAATAAAAATAATTTTGATGGATAATAATTAATTTCTTGAAATTTTATAGGTCACAGGGAACATTCAGAAGGTAATTTATGCATTTTTTATTTTGGATTTTTAAAATTAACATTCTAAGTTATTGACAATGTACTTATAACAGTTAATATAATATTTTTACAGTTAAGGATTATAAATCAGTTCAAGAAAATTTGGAGATTGACTTTGATATCTAATAATAATTTGTAATTTATTATCATACTTTTGATTTTTACTTTTTGAATTATTATTTTATTGAAATATTTATTGAGATTTATTATAAATAAATTTATTTGTTAATTCAATATTTCGTGTTGAGTAATTTGAAATAATTTAAATAACTATAATTGATATTAATTTGGTTATTTCTAAATACAAATTGAGCCATTTTGTTATTGTGTTGTTTACTTTATTTCATTAGTAATTTTAAAAACATTGTCAATTTCTCACAGATAATCTTTCTAATATTATTTTATTACTTTTCTTTTCTTAATTGATCTTCAAAATTAATAATTCTAGGTATACAATATGCTTTGTTTGGAAGAGTGAAAAGGTAAAAATAATTAAGTATGAATATAATGATTTAAGAATATCTGGGCAATTATATTTGAAGATTGCATTATTATATAGTATAAAAAGATAAAAACCTTTCTTTGATAAATGTTAGAAATATTATAAATTAGCAAAATATTTTAATCAATGATAATATTGATCTCTGGATTAATTACTAAACTAATAGCTTCCAACATATAATGTCTACAATATAAATTGTATTTTAAAATTTCAGCTAAAATAGAAATTCTTGTTGTTTTACATATGAGAAACTTGTCAAAATTTAAAAAAGTATAATGAAACATTATTGTTGTAGATTTTAGCAATATATATAATACAAACACTTGATAATTTTAATAAAACAAATTGCTATGATAATATAGGATTAAATTGAATAATGGAAACTATTACAATCCAATAACTAATTCTAAAACCTAAAACAACAAACTACATTTAGAATAGTTCAAGACATAATAATGGATCAAATAAATTAATAAATTGGATTCCATATTCTTAATTTAAAATATAAAATATTTAGTACAATGTCATTTCACAAGTAGAAATCCATATTTCGGACATATATCGGGGGCCAATTGGGTAGTTATCGGGATGGCTGATAGGTAACCAATAGGTAACTGATATGTTCCTGATAGGTGTAATATAAATATGTCAGGAATCTATTGGTCACCTAATAAAAATCAGGCACCCGATATATTTTTTAATTTTTTTTAAAAAATTTTTATGCTCCCGATAAGTGTATTAAATATAACTAATATTTATTCTGGTGCCCGATTTTTGTAATATATATCGTGTACATGATTTGTTAAATATATATCAGGCACACAAGTCAAAATCAAAAATATCAGATATATATTGGATGTCCAATATTTATAGTTTTTATATTGTGAATAATAAATAATATTTCTCTGTCTGGTACCTGATATTGTTATTAATATC